ACATCTAGGACATCTTTACCTTATTGTTATCACTCTTCGTTGTCCTAGATGGTCAGTTCATCTTTAGCTGGTATCACACCCTTAACCCAAACCTTGATGTTCTAACCTCCTGCATTCTTTTAAGTCTAACTTGACAGATATGTACAAAAATGCCAGAGAGGGAGGAACAACATAGTTTTCAGTTACTCAAGAGAAATACTGAAAAAGACCAGAAGGGAGTGTGCCAGAAATCTTATGATGCCTTAGAAAAGCTCATTCTTAAAGGTAAATTTCGTGCTCCCTAAGACTCCAAGTCAAAAGGCAGTTTCTCCTTTCTAAAAAAAAAACAAAAAAGAGAAAAAGAAAGAAAAGAAAAGAAACCAAAAGCCTAAAGAGTCTTAGAAGCCGAAATCACTTGAGCCAAAGCAATAGGTATTCACCTAAGGAGTTATGGATTCACAACTTGGACAAAAATCTAAGTCTGGGGGAATTATAAGGATACCTGAAGAAAGGAGATCAGAAATCTTAAAGCAAGAAAAATGTGACTGAAACTGTGGGGGCATTTACAATTCCATCCTGTTTTGCTGTTTTGCATAATGTCATATCTCTCCAGAAAAAAGTAACCCTAAACACATCAAGCTTTACCATTAAAAAGCCTTTTTGATACCTAACCTTGAATGCCTTGTTTAATATCCTTTTGATGAGAACCACTGAAACCTTAAATGAATGTTAAGAGATAGTTTACTAGAAATTAGTTCTAAGTGTGTGGATTTTCGCATGACGGATTAACGGACTAGTTATGTTTGTATTTTGGTTAGAATTTTCTAAACTTGATCTGATTGATGCATTGTCCATAATAAAGGTCTAGAAGTATGGTTGCTGATATTTTTGAGTTTCCTCTCATTTCTGTTGAATGATATTTTTTCCAGATTTGATCTTGTTTTGTTTGAGGACAAACAAAGTCTTAAGTCTGGGTAAGTTGATAACACCCGATTTTGACCTATTTTCACCAGTGATTTCAAATGCTTTTTCAAAGGTTTTACTTAGTTTTAGGAACTTTTATTATGATTTTCATGTATTTGTAGTTTCAAGGCTCTTTTCAGGAAACTTAGGGAATATGATGGCAAAATGGAAGAAATCCAGTTTTTTAGCTCAGAGTCAGACCATCGGAAGTTTGGTAACAAATGGAGGCCTTCCCACCGTCTGATCCAGCTCAAATTTGGAGACAATCAAGAGGAGACAACCAGATTTCCATAGCACTTTACACCACAAATATCCAACGGTGCAATCAGAAGATACATGGAGAACAAGTTGACCCAGTTCACTAGTCCCGGAAGACTCTCACCCGCGGTAAACACATGTTTTACCAGCCTTGGAAGACTCTCACCCCCGGTGGACCTTAGGACGAGCCACAAGGCCTAAAATCAAAGCTCACTTCGCTATTCCTCTTCAGAGAAGCCCTAAATGAGACCTGGAAGACCTTATGATCTATAAATACATTGTTTAGCAGCCTTAAACGGGTGTGTGCTCCTGTAATGAGATTTTGAGCCACCAAACTCTGTTTTTCTAGGGTTAGGCGATGGAGATGGGGATTCTTCCCCAGATCCATTGTTCTTTCTCCTTTTTATCTTATTAACTATTCTGTTTTGTTCTTTTGCACTCTTCTATGTCTTTCATCATTCATTGCATCATGTAGATTAGTCCTAGAGAGTCAAGTTGTTTGAAGATATCGACAAGCATATATATCGATTAGGATTTCTATTGTTCTAGGCCATATTCTGGATCTCATCTCTTCTAAGTTTTTCATAAAGCATGAGAGTAAATTCATGACCTATTCTCTGAGCCTAGGATCGATCAGAGCCACGAGAGTGATGTATCAGATCATCCCTACCTAGCTTCAGAAGAACATAGTCGCTATAGGAGTTGAAATCTACTTATAGAGAAGATGTGAGCAGACAAATTCAATGTCTAATGCATGATCTTAAGTTTAGCATGAGAGCGAGAGTTAATTGCTAGATCTAAGAGATTAGTTGATTAAGGTGACGAGAGTTGGTTAATCATACATATGTCTATTCTAGTTCCATGCAGATTCCCAGAAACAGATGAAGATAAATCGCCCGGAAGCTAATTGGAAATGCCATCATACATCGATTAGAATAATCCGGAGAAGTCGAAATCGCCACCTATGAGTTTAAGAGTCTTTAGTTTGAGTCTATATGCTTCAAATGTTCTTTTAAAAATTCATCCTGCATTGCATTTTTATTTCTTGTGAATATTAGATTAGGTTTAGTTTAGGATCTTAACCAAAAACCCCAAAACTTTTATTGGTTTATGACTTTACTTACTTCCCAGTTTTTTGTTTCTTGCAGATTAGACATCCTCCCTGTGGATCGACACCCTAAGTCCTACAACGTACATCTGTGCACTTGCAGACACTAGATTTTTAAAAATTTAAAACTTTTGGAGGACCAACGGGCTTGTTAAAAAATAACCTAGGCCCGCAAGCCCACCAGGTCCTTCTTGCCGGTGTACATCCCTGAGTAAATCCCATCACTTCCCCCTCTTTTTGAAACCTTGCACTTCAAGCTGTTTTTGGTCGATATACATCTTGGAATAGCCTCTTGTCTTTGATTTTCGATCTTTCCGAATTGCACATCGGCTGAATGCACCTCGGAGTGAACATATTCTTGACACTTAGGCGTTTTTGAACGTCCAAGATCATCTTCTAAGCCTTTGTAACTCAAATCCATGAATGAATCATTGCTTTCCAATGGCTTGTGAGAATCTAGCAGCTTCATGAACCTAAGAATTTCTCTTCAAGATAGCCATACTCCCCATGTTATTTAGTTAAAGCAATTTGAAGATGGTCTTCAAGGTTTAACTCCTCAAGAAGTTCCTCTGCAAGCTCCTCCATTGTATCTATATAAAAGACCTGACCTTCTATTGTGGGCTTCTTCATCACTTCATTGATGTCAAACTTAAGCACCTCAGACCCAAGATAGAGATCTATCTTGCGATTTCTCTTATCAATGATTGCCTCTGCTGTTGCTAGAAAAGGTGTTCCTAAGATAAGTTATCCTTTGGCTTCTCATCCATTTCCAGCACAATAAAGTCTGTAGGAACCTCAACATCACCTATCTTCACTGGAAAATCTTCAAGAAGTCCTATAGGAAGCCTTACAGATCTATCAGCAAGTACCAAAGATATCTTAAAGGGTTTATAGATGGTGAACCCCAACTTCTTGGCAACAGAAAATGACATCAAGCTCACAGAAGCTAGATCACAAAGACAACTAGCAAACTTCAAAGGTCCCAAAGTTCTTGGCAAAGTGAAGCTTCCTAAATCAGATAACTTCCTTGGTATAGTCTTCTTTTGAATAGTGGCACTGCATTCATGACTAAGCACCACCATGCCCTGAAGTTCCTTTGTTTTCTCAACTATAGCATCCTTCAAAAACTTTGAATATTGTGGCATCAAAAGGAAAGTCTCAGTTAATGGCATTGTAATCTCCACCTTTTCCTTACAACTCCATAGCCACGCTATGGAGTTGGTAGTAGTGAATTTAAAATCTACACTAGATTTTATGTCAACGCTACGCGTAGATATTTTGTTGATAAAAATTATACGCAATCAATTATATTTATTAAGATAAAAATTTAATATATTAATGTTTTAATAATATATTAAAAATATTATGGTACTAATCTAATAATTTTTATATAAATTGTGAGGTTTTAACAGCTTTATTTTGAATCTATATACAATATGTCATATTTCAAAAACGTATTATTTGGTGAAACACTTATAAGTTAATATATCCAAACTAACTAAAAATTTTACAAATTAATCAAATGCTATTTTTTAAACATAGTATTAACATGATGATAAAATATTATACATGTACTTCTTTAAATCAAGAAAATAATTTTTTTTCATCATTTTCACTTTTATGCCAATTATATATGTGTTAAAAACAAAAAAGTAATAAAATTTAATATTTTTATCTTCTTGTTTAAACAATACAAATTTTTATTTTGATATATTAATTTAAATACAAACTAATAAACAATTTTTTTTAAGATTAATCACAACTTTAAATTTGAAACCAAAACAACAGTTGAATATGAAATGAATAAAATCACAGAAAATTTATGAAATAAATATATTTTTATCAATTGGTTGTGTAAAGTTTTAAATAATTTTTCAATGATTATACGTCATTTATTTAGTTAAGAATGATAGTTTTTTCATCATGTTCATTTTTATTTTTGTTAGATCTGTTTTTAAATGAATATATCATATATATTTATTTTAATGATTTTGGTAGGATTCTATTCAGTTTTATCATATTATTTCTCAGTTCTTATAATTATAATTAAGTAGACAAAACCGGTACAATTTAATACATACAAATTTTTAAAAATGAAATAACAAATTGAACAATTCAAAACTAAGAACTTCTACAGTAATCATTTACAATTTCAAATTGATATACAAAATATAAATTTTTTCAATAATTATTGCATAATATATTAATTGAGAGTATGTGAAGATATGTTTTGCATATGTGAAAAAATAGATAAATATAAATCATAATTATTAGTTATTTAAAATTCTATATGAAAAGCTTTAAAATTAAGTAATTTAAACTTGTATAAGTAGCATATATTGTTTTATAGATGATAAATTAAATTTGAAACTTATACAATGATAATGGAGATTTTAATATCATGGTTTTTTTTTTGTTATTATCATGCATCATTTTTTTTTATGCATTTAGATTGCATATATATTCTTACCATTTTTAATCTATTACTTTATCCAACAATTTTCTAAGACAAACAAATTCATGTACGCAGCAGCTATATTATTATTATTGTTTTTTTTGGGACAAACACTGATTTTAAAAACAATAAACAACCGGTAAAAAATGTTAGCGAAATGAATGCAAAAAGGAAAAAACAAAAAACAAAAAGTTAAGAGAGAAGTGTTAAACCCAACCATTTTTTTTTTGACTTGATAAAAAGCTTCAACGCCTTCTTCTTCTTCTTCTTCTTCGTCGCTCTCCGCGTCCTCTCTATCTGAAAATCCTCCAAATCTCTCAATTAATTCTTCCGAACAAGTAAGCTTCTTCGATTCGTCTTATTACTTACACCAATCGTGATTTTGCCTTCGTCCTCTTGTTTCGTAACTTATTATACTTTTGAATTTTTTTGTTTTTGTCGATCTCAGAGTAAAGAGATTGATTAACCTAATTACTTCTGTTCTACTGTAATGCACGGCTATTAGGAATCATCCGTGATATAATTTTATAAGTTCTGGATTTGGATTCGAAATTTTCTCTTCTACAGACTCGTGTTTAGGAAATAGAACCTAGTTTTAGCTGTAAATCGTTGTGATCGAGTTTGACCATTTTTGTATAAACCCTAATTTCTAGATTCGGCGCACAGATTACACACCTTCAAATCCAGCTCGATTCATGTTTTGAGGTGCATGTATTGATTAGTGCTTCTGAGATGAAGAGAAAAAAATTCATGTTCTTTGTGTGTGTTAATCTGTGATTCACAGGTTTGTGAGAGAGGAACCGAAGATAAACTCATCAAATCATATAAATGGAAGTCTGCAATTGCATCGAGCCACAATGGCCAGCTGATGAATTGTTAATGAAATACCAATACATCTCAGATTTCTTCATCGCCATTGCTTACTTCTCAATCCCTCTCGAGCTTATATACTTCGTCAAGAAATCTGCGGTATTCCCTTATAGATGGGTCCTTGTTCAGTTCGGTGCCTTCATCGTTCTCTGCGGAGCAACACATCTTATCAACCTATGGACTTTCACTACACATTCAAGAACCGTGGCGCTCGTGATGACCACCGCAAAAGTTCTAACCGCCGTCGTCTCCTGCGCCACCGCGTTGATGCTTGTTCACATCATTCCCGATCTGCTGAGTGTCAAGACCCGGGAGCTTTTCTTGAAGAACAAAGCCGCAGAGCTCGATAGAGAAATGGGGTTGATCCGAACTCAGGAAGAAACGGGAAGGCATGTGAGAATGCTGACACATGAGATAAGAAGCACTTTAGATAGACACACGATTCTAAAGACTACGCTTGTTGAGCTTGGTAGGACATTAGCTTTGGAAGAGTGTGCATTGTGGATGCCTACTAGGACTGGTTTAGAGCTACAGCTCTCTTATACGCTTCGTCAGCAACATCCAGTTGAGTATACGGTTCCGATTCAGTTACCGGTGATCAACCAAGTGTTTGGTACTAGTAGAGCTGTGAAAATATCTCCTAATTCCCCTGTGGCTAGATTGAGACCTGTTTCTGGGAAGTATATGCTTGGGGAGGTGGTCGCTGTGAGGGTTCCGCTTCTACACCTTTCTAATTTTCAGATTAATGATTGGCCAGAGCTTTCGACGAAGCGATACGCTCTTATGGTTTTGATGCTTCCTTCAGATAGTGCGAGGCAATGGCATGTCCATGAGTTGGAACTCGTTGAAGTCGTTGCTGATCAGGTTTAACACTTTTTTGCTATGTTCCTGTTCCTTTGTTTTGCCATGTAGCCATTGGATCTTGTTTTAACTTATCTCTTCTTTGATTCTAGGTGGCCGTGGCTCTCTCACATGCTGCGATCCTAGAAGAGTCGATGCGAGCTAGGGACCTTCTCATGGAGCAGAATGTTGCTCTTGATCTAGCGAGACGAGAAGCAGAAACAGCGATCCGTGCACGAAACGATTTTCTGGCAGTTATGAACCATGAGATGCGAACACCAATGCATGCGATTATTGCACTCTCTTCGTTACTCCAAGAAACGGAGTTAACACCTGAACAAAGATTGATGGTGGAAACAATACTTAAAAGTAGTAACCTTTTGGCAACTTTGATGAATGATGTCTTAGATCTTTCAAGGCTAGAAGATGGAAGTCTTCAACTTGAACTCGGGACATTCAATCTTCATAATTTATTTAGAGAGGTAACGACATATTATTCCTCTTGCGGGTCATTGTTTGGATACTAATATGTCAACTTTTGAACAGCTTCATGTTTCAGAAGTTGTAGTATTTGTGTATGTGATTAATGTATCTGAATCATGTTGCAGGTCCTCAATCTGATAAAGCCTATCGCCGTTGTAAAGAAACTACCCATCACACTAAATCTTGCACCGGATTTGCCGGAATTTGTCGTCGGTGATGAGAAACGGCTAATGCAGATAATATTAAACATCGTTGGTAACGCCGTGAAATTTTCCAAACAGGGTAGTATCTCCGTTACTGCTCTTGTCACCAAGTCAGACACTCGAGCTCCCGACTTCTTTGTCGTGCCAACTGGGAGTCATTTCTACTTGAGGGTAAAGGTTAGTATCTTTGCCACTTAAACCATAGCTTAACGTATTTGGTATAGGTCTTAATTTTGAACGATTTATTCAACTATAGGTAAAAGACTTGGGAGCAGGGATAAACCCTCAAGACATTCCCAAGCTTTTCACTAAATTTGCTCAAACACAATCTTTAGCAACGAGAAGCTCAGGAGGTAGTGGGCTTGGACTCGCCATCTCCAAGAGGTTGAGCCTTTTTTAGAAACGTTTTCTTTCTCGTTCTGGTCTTTCTTCTCTTCTGGTATTGATACAAAAGGCATTTGATATGACAAAAGGTTTGTGAATCTGATGGAGGGTAACATTTGGATCGAGAGCGATGGTCTTGGTAAAGGATGCACTGCTATCTTCGATGTTAAACTTGGGATTTCAAACGAATCTAAACAGTCGTGCATACCGAAAATTCCAGCCAATCCTCGACATGCGAATTTCTCTGGACTTAAGGTTCTTGTCATGGATGAGAACGGGTAAGTATTAGCGTCTTGCCCTTAAAACACCGTAATTGGCGTCTAGAAAAGTCGCAGACATAATCTTATGAGAAACCACTGATTATGTTCTGGTTGCAGGGTTAGTAGAATGGTGACGAAGGGACTTCTTGTACACCTTGGATGCGAAGTGACCACAGTGAGTTCAAGCGAGGAATGTCTCCGAGTTGTGTGTCATGAGCACAAAGTGGTGTTCATGGATGTATGCATGCCCGGTGTCGAAAACTACCAAACCGCTCTCCGTATACATGAGAAGTTCACGAAACGCCACCAACGGCCACTGCTCGTGGCACTGACCGGTAACACAGACAAATCCACAAAGGAGAAGTGCATGAGCTTTGGTCTAGACGGCGTTTTGCTCAAACCCGTGTCTCTAGACAACATGAGAAACGTTTTGTCTGATCTTCTAGAACACCGGGTTTTGTACGAGGCCATGTAAAAAAGGCATTTGACGCAGAGGGAGTAATCTCGACGGTCCTGGCTTTTTTTCTCCCCGTGAAAACATCGGGACGCTGATGTTTTCTCTGGTTTAATGTGTACATATCAGAGATTTGTTGGGAGCGTTTTGGATATGAAAATCATAAAAGAGAACGGGAAATAACAAAACAGAAACTGTCGACCGGTCTTTGTGGCGATTTGGATTCCGGTTACAGAAGAAGATGTTAAAACGGTAAAATAGTTTCATGTTACATGTCTGACCTGTGTTATTGTATTCTTATATACTGTAGTTACATTCTTTTTTTTTTGCGTAACTTGTATGATATTGATGCAGTATTATGACGTCGACTTTGCAATTCATATTTATATACATATTGGGAAATAATCATAAAAATTTTCTAAATATAAATAGTTTTCTAAGTAAAACCTTAATTTTTTGGGGTCCTGTTTCAGAATATCAAAAGTTAAATTCTATTCTCATCCCTACATTTTTTTTAGGGTCTGTAATATATTATTTATATTCGCATTACTACATGTTTGTATCATTCAATAACAGGTCGTTTTTAACACTGAGTTATAAAATTTAGTTTCGGATCCGTATAGATACCTTTACTAGATCATATCAGACAAGGGTTGTAATAATGTACTATCTTATCAAAAAATTTCTATTCTTCTTTTTTTTTCGAATCAAATCTTTCTATTCTTCTTCTCGGCATAAAAAATATTAACCCACCAAATCTTTTTCTTTATAATTCAGAGTAAATCCTAAGGAGTCCAGATTAATCTTCAAAATTTTCCACCCTTGTCTTTCAGGAAACGACATGGGCGTCTGGACTTACTGGTCCTAGTCTCTTGGGTATTTTACCCGAGTCTCCATCCCGGATGATTCTTCTCTCTTCGACGGCTCTACTTCAGAGTCCGACCTTCTCCCGACCATGTCCTTCACTCCCTCTACTCTACGAGGGCACCATTGAGCCATGTACCCGTTAACGTCTCTTTTGGCGAGAAGCGGATCCGCATTATCGTATTATCCTTCTTTGTTGCCCCACTTCAGTCTCTCTGCTGCGTCTAGCTTCCTTGATCGTCACTCTGGTTGAAGATTTTCATTCAAGGTGAGCTTCGTGGACCCGGACTGGCTTCCTAGCAGACCCGCCTTCCCTCTTTTCTCTTGTTTTTTATTTTTATTTTTATTTTTGCTGTACCCCTCTGTTTGGGTAATTGTTAGTTTGTGACTCTTTTCTGTACTTCCTCCGATTATAGTGCAGTACGCCCATTTCGTTTCGCTTTCTTGTGTAACCGGTATGAGAATGTGCCTGTGTGGCTGATTCTGCCTTCCTCTTTCCCGCGGATAACTCAGCTTGACTTTTTTTGTTTCTTTCCTGTCTTGTGCTGAGTCGGGTGTGCACGGGCCTGGGTTCGGGGTCGACTCTCTGTCCCGCCAGAGGTTGACCTTCCTCCCCTGGTCCTTCTTCCGAGAGTCCGCCTTCAACGCCCCTCAAGTGGAATTCAATGAGGGCTTTGCCTGCTTCTTCTACAGGATGCCCCAGGGTTGGGCCGCTTTGGGCCTCCGCAACACATCCCCAATCTCTGTAGGAGAGAAAGTATGGGTCATAGGGCTCCACCTTTTCTTATTCGGCGGGGATTGGGTACTGGAGTTCCTCGATTACAATGGGGCTCATGGGCTCGAACATCATGCTCGACCCTCTCAAAGATAGGACTCCCCTTTCTGCTTCCACAGTGGTCCGATCTTGGATTGTTATCGTAGCATAACTACTTTGCTTGTATCCGCTACAAAACATCATCTCTCGAGACTGTGCGGTCGCGCGCATCCCCAGCTGCCGTTTGTATTCCCTGTTCAGCTTTGCTCTAGCTTCCATCGTTACCTCAAGTATTTTCCGAAGGCGGGCCTGGATCTCCTCATTCTCCTCCTGGCCCTTTTGTAGTTCACCCACTGTGGGTTTGGACTGATGGTTTTGTGCTTAAGACCGCACTCCATGGTCGTCTTTTATGTTTTCCTTTCAGACGTGTTGGCGCGCCCCTCGTGTCGATTGTTTTAACGTCATTTCTTGTTTCTGCTTCTTCCTTTTGATTCCTGGGTTGCTGACCCCGAGCTTGAATGTTCAGCGGTTTTCTGACTTGGGAAAAAAGATTTATTTTGCTTAGAGAGTGTTGCCCCCCCCCTCATTCAAGCACCAAATTGTTTAGGGGATTTCCAGTCCTTCACTGGGTGTAATTCTCCTGCAAAACAGAAAAGACATCAGGGCCCGGAAAACACGATGGTGGTATGTTATCCGAATGAAATCCAACACTCAAGTAAGAAAACGGCTCAACAAAGACCAAAATATAGCTGTTCGGAGAGCGGAAAAAGTATGTGAATCCTCTCCCCTAGAAAAGGGTAATGTATTTATAGGGAATTACCTAACCCGGGTTATAGAATACCGGGTTGGCCCATGGATTGTGGATTGGGTGGATAACCCATGATCCGACTCGACTGAATGATGTGGGTGCAATGGAAAACTACAAGTTTTACCCTAAACAAAGCTGCAAGTGCACAGAAAACGCAGTAGTAGTTAGGGATCGAATCAACAATGAGTTGTGTGTTGAGGACTCCTAACTGATGCTAAAATCTATTGTAGACATAATCAGATTTTTGGTGGTCACTGAATCTAAATAACTAAGCAGAGATTAAAAAAGCTTGCAATAAAATCGATTAAAAACTATATAAAAATGGCGCTGGGTTTAGGGTTCATCTCTAGGGTTCATGATCTATGATACAGAGAATCTAGGTAAGGATTTTCTATGATTTTAAAACTAGGACAGACACTTATAAGATTAGCCAACTCTCGTCACCCTAATCATCTAATCACTTAATCTCAGCAATTAACTCTCGCTCTCATGCCAGAATAAGATCATGCATTTCAGATCAGAATCTATCTCGACTTACATAACCTCCGTCGGTAGCTTTCATCTCCTACGACGGAGACATCCATAAGATCCAGTTCAAGTAACCCAGATATAACACTCTTGTGGCTCGGATTCAACTTTGGATAGGACTCTTGGTGATCAATTCAGATAACTGCTTTAAGATTGGGATGAATGGGAGAATCATTTAAAAACTGAAATCTTTTAACCTACAAACCTAGATGTCATTCGAACATGGGATCCCCTTTGATGGTCCCTTCACCCAACAAGGTGACTACTCAGACATGGCTGAGCTTGACATCATCATTGGTTTAAGAATGAAAAAGCAATAAAGTAAAGAGATAAAGAATAAAGAAAATCTTCTCTGATTAAAGACAGTATTGGCGATGAAAAGCTTCTACAATTGCATAAAATTAAAAACTAAAACTAAAATGAAGTTCTCTCTCAAAGAGATCAAAGAGGCTTAGGTACAAAAGACCTAAAAATGAGTATTTATAGTGTTTCCTCTCTTCTGGACGTCTAGGGCTTGTAAAATGAGTGCAGAGAATGACTTAGGCCTTAGTTGGGTTTCTGAGGTTCGGAAAGAGGTCCACCGCGGGTGAGGGGGGCTGAGCCGCGGTGGGGAGGAGCTTGGCTGCGGGTGAGAGCTTGATGCTAAGAGAATCAAGGGTTACTTCTAGCTTCACGTTTTAAATTTGTAATCCTAAATATCTGCAAGTGCACAGATGTGCGTTGTAGTACTTAGGGGTCAACCCACAGAGATTTTGAGCTTTCAGTATGAATCAATCAAGACTTAAGACTAGCAGAACAAGCAAATGAGGGTTTTTGGTTTTGGTGTCACTAATCTAAATGCAAATCGAAATAAAAAGGGTTGTAAAACAATAAGAACAAATCGCTGGGTCTAAAGGGTTTTCGCAGGGGTTCATGAACTGATCAAAAGACAAACAAATCGATAAAGAAAATCAACTAGTGAGGCTCCCGAACTAGAATAGACACATGTAAGATTAGCCAACTCTCGTCGCCCTAATCATCTAATCACTCAACACAGCAATTAACTCTCACTCTCATGCTGCAAATAAGATCATGCATTAATAACAGAATTCATCTACGCTCGCGACTCTCTGTAGGTAGCTTTCGTCTCCTACAGCGATTTCGCTCGGTCATTTCTAGGTCTGGTAATTCGATACAGCACTCTCGTGGCTCCAATTACTGAGATCAATTTTCAAGCGGTTAGCAACAGAAACAGCATAGGGAACAAGAATGAACAAAAGGCTCCTAGAAGACTTTGAACGCTAAATCGAATAAAGCATAAGATCAAGACATGAAATTCCTTTTAAAAAATCCCTTAAAACCCAACTGGAAAATTACTCAGACATAGCTGAGTTCAACATCACAAAAGTGTTTAGAATTGCAGAGACTTGAAATAGACAAAGTTTAGAAACGAAGAACAGGTTGAAGAATGAGGGCCGATGGTGCCCCTCTCGGTGGCTCCTCTTCTGGGCGAGCTTCTCTTCTAGGGTTCCTGGTGAACAATGTGGCACACCCTTCTAAACGACTTAAAAGGGGTTTATATAGTGTTTTGAGTCCTCGGAAACGCCTAGGACTTGCAAGAATAATGACGGGAGTGACTTGGGCTTTAATATGGGCTTCTGATGCTCGGGATTGAGCTTTCCGCGGTCTAAAATTTCGCACCCCCGGCAGATGACGTTTTGCCTGCGGGTAAGCTTCTGACTGTGATGATTCGCCTTCAGTGTATCGACCATTTCTGGAGATCTAACCGTTGGATTGCTTTGATTCCACTTGTATTGGAAATCTGGTTGTCTCCTCTATCTCGTCTCCAAATTAGGGGATAATCACATGGTGGGAAGACCTCCTTTTGATACCAAACTTCCGACGGTCATAATTTATCCAAAGTTATGCTTTTTGCTTCCAAATGTATTCCTTTTGTCAAAATAATCTAAAAACTCTTTTGAGATTCTAAAACATGGAAATAAATTTAAAAAAAAATAAATCTGAGTGAAAACACCTGCATAAGATATTAAAAGTGATCCATAAAAGTGGTCAAGATCAGGTGTTATCAACTCCCCGAAACTTAAACCTTTGTTTATCCTCAAACAAAACCAAAGATCTGAACCTGGAAGAGAGGTTTAAAAATCGCAGGAGCTAACAAAATCTCAGAGATCATGCTTCTAAAGCAGAGTTAGTCATTATGCTCAAATTAAGGATAATCTAGAAAATTCTCACCAAAGTACAGGCATAACTAATCCGTTGATCCGTTATGCGAAAATCCAGACACTTAAACTTATCTTCCACTCAACTAGCTGTTAACATTCATTCAAAAGTTCAAATGGTTCTCATCAAAGGACTTTAGTAAAGAAATCAAGGCTAGGTATTCAAAATGGCTCTTTCAGGGTGAGGTTCTCAGTGTTTAGGGTTACCTTTTTCTGGAGAGACAAGACATTAT